GGAATGCCATTACATATCTGTCGGCATGGCAACGTACTGAACTGATGCTGATTAAAAATAATCAGCCAAAATAAATAAACAAAAAGGGGGCAGCAGAGAGAGCGGTGTGTGGTGGAGACAGGGCAAGATGCACTGCCATGGAAGGAAATGTTGATAAAACAAAACCTTTAGTTTACTCTGAGCTCATTTTCTGCTTGCCCCATTCAGCATATCAGAGACTGGGTGCAAAAGTGGATTGCACTATTTCCTAAAGACAACCAGCTAATGTGAAGTCTTCTCAGTAACTGCTAAGGCAGCTCATTTTCAATGAGTTGAGGGAGCTGGGCTCATCCATCTTGAAGTGCTCCTCTTCCTCTTTTAATGTCTCATATGCCCGTAAAGTGTCATCCTAACTCTTTGAATCAGGGAGTCCAAATACCCTCCCTGAGTGGCTTGGGGAACAGTGTCATCACCTGGCAGCTATCTCAGTACTGTGACCACCCTATAATGTTCACCCTTGTAACCTCTTCAGTTGCTTTTATTCTCATCTAGTAGGCATTCCTTTAAATAACATATCTATTATTTAAGTAAGGTGATTTATATAGACGTCTATTCCCTGAGGCATCTAAAGGTCTAGTTAGGCTACGATTATGAACATATCAAGATACAGACATCTAAAAAGCAATCGGTTGAAACTCTCCATGCCCTAGAAACAACTGTTTACCCAGGATATTTGTTTTTTGAGACCATGAGCTGCTTCGGTGTTTTAATAATTTTCCATAACTTTGTAATGCAAACCTGTGACATTATCTTGTTTCACGAAACAAGCAGATTTAAAGGAGGAGCTATTGCAGATGATATCTCCTCAGGTGTTTGAGTTGATCCCTAAAGTACAAACGTTTCTTTCACTCAAGCACTTCAGGCCCCTGCCGCTAATAAGAAAAACAAAAAACTAAAGAAAAAGGCAAAGCTACAGGGTCTGCAGGCATGAAGAGATGGTAAAATATTGCATACAGACTGAAAAATTGATAAATTGCATCATACGGCACTCCAGTAGTTTCATTTCTCCAGTAAAACCAACAAGAGCATCTAATGTATCTAATATGTCTACAGGCATCGGGCCAGATGATCACAGATACTTGTACCTTCATCTGCGAAGCATGAGTACATAATTTAGGCATGTGAGTCATTAATCAGACCATGCATGTCAGATTGCAAAGATACACATCCAAGTGACCTTGGCATGCTCCCAGACTTCACAGGCTTGCATACCTATGTGAAGAGCTTGTTTAGACATATGTGTCTCTGAAGTTCAAGGCCTTTTTGATCTAGGGAAATAACACCGTTTAACTCAGTTACAATGAAACTGTGCTTCCCATTACTAATCTTCATATGCAACTAGCCTCCAACTTCAAAATATATTCTGCAATTGAAGTAGGCTAGATACTTTAAAAATCAATAATACATTGGCAAATTTTTATTGTGAATCCAACCTGAAATAAATCTCCTGAATTTCCCAGTACAAGAGTGACAACTTTTAGAATTATCTTTGTATTATATTGCAGCAACTGGCTTGTATAATAATCCAGCTGCCCAAGAGACTGCATGGTGGAATCACTAGAGGTTTCAGAAGCATCTTAATACAATTGTTGCCAACACTTAAAATTTGCACTGGGTAGCACTCAGCGCACCTCATCAGTGCGCGGTCTGCCTTGCACTAGTACGGGCTTGCAGACAACCACGAAACAGACCCCACCCATGAAAGCTCTCAAACCACGTTAGGTTCAATGTC